GTTGGGGGTCGGGCTCCCGAGGATGTGGGGGTCTGTGACGGGGTCCCCGAGTAGGGCGCACTGAGTGTTGGGGGTCGGGCTCCCGAGGATGTGGGAGTCCAGGTCGGGCGCCCCGAGTAGGGTGCACTGAGTGTTGGGGGTCGGGCACCCCGAGGATGTGGGGGGCGCGGAGAGTTGTGGGGTCGCGGATGCGGCCGGTGATGGGATCGAGGATGACATAATGCTTTAGGACGGTGGAGGGAGTGGCCGGGAGGGCGGGCCGGGGACACCGTCCAATGGGAGAGCGGGGTCCCCTCCTGGGCGTCACCCTTGCTTGGGGCGTGGAGGGGACGGAGGGGACAGGAGCTGCGGGCCGAGTGGTGGTCCGGGGAGAGCTGCCCGCCCCGGCCGAGCGGGGAGGCCCGCAGACGGGGGACGGGGAGGGGACCCCCGTGTTAAGTGAGCGTGTTAGAGCACCGCGTCTGGAGCGCAGGACAGAGCCCGTGGTTAGTTGCCTTGCTGACATCCTGTTACTCGCTGGGAGTCGGAGTCTTTGCCTCTGGGCTGTGTGTGTGCTTTAAAACAGGAAAGACCTTAAGAAACACAAAGGTGTCAAATTGGGGTTCTGACTCCTACTACACAGGACAGAGCTCTGACGACACTGCCAGCCAGGAGGATGGACTCCACCAGCTGCTCCCTGCCATAAAAATGGGCAATCTGCAGGATTTGCTGCCTCTGAAAATCCTGGAGGGTCAGCTCTGGGTCGGTTCCAGGAAGAACCGCCTTACAGGGTTTCTGAAACTGTAAATATATAACCAGATTGCTACCTGTTTCTTGGTGGGTCCAAACCCACAGCTGAGATCTTAGGCAGCATGCCGCCAGGGCTCCTCAGACTGGTGATGTGTTTGCTGCTGTGTCTGTGGTGACTCGGACATGCTGTCCTGTGGCGGGAGGATCCACTGCCCAGTCCTGCCCCGTCCCCTCACTCAGTGCGCCCACTGAGCCGTTTTTGAGCTCATTTCACTGAGGGGAGGGGTCCTTCAGCAGGGATGAGCTGCTCCTGCCAAGGCACCTGAAGCAGGGGAGACGAGGTCTCACCGTCCTTTCTTCAGTGGAGCGGCCCAGCTGCTCTGCCCCCACGACAGTTTGTCTCTCCTTTGGGCAGTCCGTTGATTTTGTTGTGTGCTGTCAAGTTGAAACGGACTCCTGCTGAGCCTCCAGTGAGTTCCAGAGACTGTAAATTGAACAAGAAGACATGGCCCATCCGTGGAGCAGCTGCTGGACTTGAACCGTGTACCTTTGGGAAGGCAGCTCCACTTCTTACTGTAAGGCCCCCAGAACTCCCTGGTCCATTAAAGCACCATCTTATAGTCTTCAATTAACTTTTGGAACCAGTGGCCAAGAAATCAAAAGACAAATTGAATTAGGAAAGCCTGCCGTCAGGGAGATCGCCAAAGGTATCAGTCTAGAGACTAAGGTGCACCGGATCCATGGTCTTCACAATTGCATGCTGTGCATTGGACAGTTGGACAGTGACTAGGGATGATATTGACGCCTTTGAGCTGTGGTGCTGGAGAAGAGTGTTGAATATACCATGGGCTGCTAGGAGAACAAACAGGTTTGTCTTGGAGTGGATGAAGCCAAATTGCTCTCTGGAAGCAAGGATGTATTAATATTAATATTTATATATTATTTTTAAAAAATGAAATGCATTGTTTATTTTCCGTCAACCTTATTTCCACTTTTTAAAAGACAGCTTAAGACCGTTCCGTGGTGGTGCCCCCACTCAGTGGCCTGAGCAGTGGGGCTGCAGACCAGTCTTCAGTTGCAGGCTGGGCACTCCAGTCTTCAGTAGGGAACTGCTGAATCGGCACAGTCTGTCACTTCAGGCTGAGTAGCAGTGAATTCAGGAGCAGGGGCCGTCCATTCTCCCTGAAACTCCTCCTTGGTCACAGCCTTTTCAGCAGCAGCCTGTTCTTCCTTTTCAATCTCTTCCGGATCTCTGTAGAAGTACAGATCGGGCATGACCTCCCACGGGTGCTCCCGGGAGATCGTGCCACGCATGCGCAGGACTTCCCGGGCCAGCATCCACCACATCAGACCCACAGAGTGAGCTCCCTTGTTGTTGCACGGGATAGTAATGCCTACATAACGCAGAGGAGAATCTGTGTTACACAGGGCAATGGTCGGCAAGTTAACGTAAGATGCTTCTGTCAGAGGCTGGTGGTCAGCCCTGGGATCAGTAACCACCAGAAGACGAGGCTCCTGGAAGGCTGCCTGGATCTGGTCAGTGAAGGTTCCAGGAGTGAAGCGCCCGGCAATAGGAGTGGCCCCAGTAGCAGCAGCAAACTTCAGAACAGCTCTCTGGCCTGTATTTCTGGAGGAAATGACACTGACATCAGCTGGATTTTCAATGGCAGCAATGGCCCGAGCAGCCAAGAGCAGCTTCTCCCAGGTCCTCCTCAGGTTTATGATGGAGATGCCATCACTTTTCCTTTTGTAGATGTACTGTTCCATTTGGAAGTCAAGGTTGGTGCTGCCCAAATGCGTTCCTGCTGCAAGGAATTTGAGGACATCCTCCTCCTTCATGTGCAAGACATCAAGGGCTCCGGGCATTGTGGAAGTTTCCCCTTTAAGTTATGACGGGAACCAGAACAATGCCGTATGGACCCTTGTGCGGGTAGCGTGGAAAGGGGAAGCAAGGATTTTGAAACTCCATGTCACATACTTTAGGCATGTTGCCAGGAGAGACCAGTCCTTGGACAAGGACTTCATGCTTGGAGATGTGGGGGGAAAGAAAGCACAGGAGAGGAAGACCCTGCTTGAGATGGATTGATTCTGTAACTGGGGCTGTAGTGGCAGGTGTGTAGAGAGAGTGAAATTGGCTCAGAATAGGACCGGGTTCAGAGCTATTGTGCATAGTGAGATTAGCTCAGGAGAGGACAGAGTTCAGAGCTGTTGTTCATAGAGTTGTTAGGAGTTGCGTGAGATGTGATGACACATAACGACATGCTAGGACTTGGCCTAGTGGCGAGAAGCGGCAAGCGGTTCAAATCCATCAGCTGCTCCCTGCAGAAGGGCGGGCCCAGCCTCCTGCTCGATTAACGGCCTCTGAAAACCTGTGGAGGGTCAACTATGGGTTGCTTCCAACCCAATGGTACAGAACAACAGCAGCACTTAAAGATCCCCCCAAAGGCTTAGTGTGTAGAGAGGGCTGTGGGGCAGGTCAAGGAGTCCTGGTGACGCAGTGGTTAGACATCAGGCTGCTAGCGGAAAGGCCCATGGTCTGAACCTCCCTGTGGCTGCACAGAACCGCCCTGTAAAGATTCCTCTGTCCTCTGAGGTCACCCTGAGTTTGAACCTGCTCTCCACAACCTGCTCAGGCAGGCGGTGCTCTGACCTCCAGGCATTCCCTTTCTGATCTGGGTGTGGAGCAGAACCTGCAGAAGGAAACAGTTCTCAGGAAGCAGCTCTTGAAGGACCTTGCTCTGTGAAGACCAATTCATGGCAGTAACTTTTTCTTTATGATTCTTAGGGGAACCTGGCCACCCTGAAGGTTTCATTAGAAGATGGGGTGGTGGGTTATGCCGGCTTAATTACCAAATCAAATTCAGAAGGAAGTTCATTTTTCTCCTAAGCGGGAGAGGGGGACCTGTTGGAGAGCTAGAGGAACTTTTTAACTGTTTGCTGAAGCAAGTAATTTAGTCACACATCTGCACACCGCGTCAGCGTGGGCAGTGCCAAGTGGGCCCTGCGGTGGAGTTGTGGGGAAGAGGCTCTCCTCTCTCTCGCTGCTCATGTGACAGAACGCAAACTTGTTGACCTTCAAAATATGGTTATCAAGAAGTTTCCTCCTGTAAGAATGAAAATGTAGAAATGCTTTGAAGGACTGTGGTGTCACTGTTTACATGCTGAAGAGCTCCGGTTGTTGTTATTTTGTTAGGTGCTAACGACTCAAGCCCATAGCGACCCTGTGAACAACAGACCTGAACCCTGCCCTATCCTGTGCCATTGTCACCATCACTGGCACGCTTGAGCCCACGTCAGTTACTGTGTCGCTCCATTCTTGTTGGGGGGTCTTTCTCTTTTCCACCTTCCGAGCACGATTTCATTCTGCAGGGAATAGCCTCTCCCAGCAACATGCCCAAAGTAGAGACAAAGCTTTGCATCCTTGCCTCCAAGGAGCACTCTGGCTGCACCTCTCCAGGACGGACCCGCTTGTTCTTCTGGTCATCCGTGGAATCGTATTACTCTTCTCCAGCACTGTAGCTCAAAGATGTGTGTACGTTCATAGACAGGTGTGAGTTCTCCGATGACCTCTGCTACTCACTGGTTTTATGAATTTCAACATAATCAGTAATCTCTCTACATCTTAGCATCTCATCCACTATAAAGAAAACAATAGTTAAAACATCCAAAGTGGCCGCTTGGTAAAAGCAGTTAGATTTTGCTTTGTTATTTTAAGGTAATGTGTATATTATGTATTTGTTTTTTAAAAAAATCCAGTGTATTATGTTTATTTAAGTAATATTGATTGCTGTCAAGTTGAGCACGACTCTTAGCGACCCTGTGAACAAAAGGCCTGAAGCCTTTTTAAAGCTATCGACATTTATCAAAGTTTGTAGAGTTTCCAGAGGCATGTTGTTTAGGAAATGGATGCAGCTATAAAACCAAGGTGGGGAGCTCTGGTGGCCTAGTGGCAGGAAGCTGTGCTACAATCCCAAAGGTTCACAGTTCGAATTCACCAGATGCTCTGCTGGAGAAGGATGGGCAATCTGGATCTCACTTAAAAGTACACAACAACAATTAAAAAAAAATGAAAAAAAAATTTTAAAAAACAAAAAAAAAATGAAATAAAGTGTCACACACACACAAAATGTGTATTTTTTTAAAAACAAAACAAAACACCCAAGGTGAAACCAAGTTTCTCCTTGGAGGCAAGAATTTTGAGGCTCCATCTCACATACTTTGGGCCCATGGCCAGGAGGGACCAGTTCTTGGAGAAGGACATCATGCTTGGAAGTGTGGAGGAGTAGCACAGGAGGGGAAGACCCTGGAGGAGATGGACTGACATGGTAACTGGGGCAGTGGGGTTAGGTGTGTCAGTCAGTGAGACGGGCTCTGGTTAGGGCAGAGTTCAGAGCTGCTGACCACAGGGTGGCTGTGAGTTGCAGGTGACTCGATGGCACATGACAACAACAGCAGCAGTTATGAAAGGGTGATAATTACAGTACCTTCGCGTCTTCCTCGTGTGTATCTAACTCTCTCCCCTGAGGCAGCTGAGCTTAAATATTTTTGAGTGTCCTTCCAGATGCAGTAATTTCCAATGTTAAGATAGGTCTTACATTTTTAAAGAACAGAGAGACTTTAAAATAGTAACCACTTTTAAAAGGCCATAGTGTTTAGTTATTTTTTTAAATATAGATCCTATTTCTGTGCATTTTGTGGATGAGAAAGAAGATAGTTGCTCATTTCAGTAGCAGTCCCAGCTCACAGATGTGGGTCTTGGCCCTTCTGTTCAGACGCTTGAGCTGAGTCTTCCCAGCGTGGGCTTGGCTGTGCACAGGCAGTTGGAAGGTACCTGCGGAGTTTCTCTGCCCTTGCCTCCGGGGACCCGGAGTGTCCACCCGCCTCCCGGGGACCCGGAGTGCCCACCCGCCTCCCGGGGACCCGGAGTGCCCACCCAGGTGAGCCTGTGGAGGGAGGCGGGGATGAGGCCCGAGAGGGGCCCAGCCTTATCTGGTGCTCACAGCGTTGGTGTGACTGACAGTCAGCTCAGCGGGACTAACGGGTGTGTGTGGAGGAGCGTGAGGGGCAGCATGTGGGGGCACAACAGCTTCGTGGACCTGACCGCTTGATGCCTTGCTGAATGTTTTCATATCTTTTTAAGCAAATGGACTTTATTGGGGAATATGAAAACCGCTGCTTCCTGAAGGCCTTTATTCATGCTAATAGTGTTTTACTTTGCTTACTCAGTTTTGGTTTCCTTGCATTCATTCAGGGAAGCACTTCTCTCCGCCATTCAGAGGAGGGAGGAGGCCAGCAGGTTTCTTAGGGTTCACTTTGCAGCCTGGCAGCTGTTTCCTCGACTGCCTTCCTACTGAGTGGTCTGTCTTCCCCGGGGCGGGGGCCAGGGCGGGGGGCTGTTTCCCCTTCTCTGCCCGTTGTGCTCCAGTGACAGGTCTCCATAGTGTGGTCGGCTTCCAGGGAGATGCCTTTATGACTGACAGGTTTTCATGCCATGTAGCGCCCCTCCTCTTTTGTTTTATTTTTGTCGACCAAAATGTGAAAACTTCCCTTCGCGCCCAGGCTGATCAGGCTGAAGCAGACGAATTCCAACACTGAATGCTGAAGAACTTCTTATGGAAGTGACTTCTTAAGAAGGTTTTTCAACTTGCTGAGAATATATATAGCAAAATGGACAGCAATTCAACAATTTCTGTGTGTACCAGAGACGTCAGCAGTGGTTTTCAGGTTGTGCACCCGCCGTCTCCCGCCTTGCCACGCTGTCCTCTGTTCCCTTCACCTCGCGGCCCCGGGAGCTTTCAGTTTACCTTTTAGAGTTGCAGCTGCCAGTTTGTGCGTGTCTTTTCTGTTGTTGGGTGCCTTGGAGTCTGCTCTGCTCCTGGGAGCTGTAGGACAAAGCCTGCCCCGTCCTGTGACCCCAGAGAGGCACGTTCTAAGGGGCTTGGTGACCAGGCAGACGCTTTACCAGTCCAGCTGGACTTCTGTTTGGTCTGAGAAGATTTGAGAGTTGTTCGGCCAGTACCTGGAGAAGGACATGATGCTGGCAAAGTGGACGGTCAGTGGGAGCGAGGAAGCGCCTTGGGTGGACTGACAGCAACCACAGTAGTGAGCCCAGCACAGCTGCGGGAGTGACGGCGGTGCGGGACCCATCACTGGGGGCTCATGAGCTCCTGAAAGCAGGGAAGACCGGTTCAGAGAAGAGCACACCAGGGCACCATCAGTCCCCAGGCCGTGGAGGCACTCACACTGTGCATGGGGCGACAGCCACACAGGATGGGGCGACAGCCACACAGGAAGAAGTGGATGGATGCCTCCTGGCACTGAGCTTCCCTGCTGTCCAACAGTGAACCAGACTTCACTGTGCCTTCAGAAGCACGAATCTGCACCATGGTCTTAGCAAACCCAGGCTAGACTCCCTGACTTCGTCGTTCTTGTATTGCCAATCCACTGACATGACATGACATGATAAATGTTACTGTTGTAATAAATAAAAAATCCCAACCACTTAGAAGTTATATGTACCATTGAGTCACCTGCAACCCATAGCAACCGTAGGTACAGCAGCCTTGAAGCCTGCCCTGTCCTGAGCCAGTCTCACTAATTTCAACACACCAACCCTCATAGCTCCAGTCACTGTATCAGTCCACCTCATCTGGGGTCTCTCTCTCCTGCACTGTCCCACCACCCTTCCGAGCATGATGTCCTTCTCCAAGGACTGATCTCTCCTGGCCGCATGCCCAAAGAAGTTATATATATATATAAAAAATGTCAAAGAAAGGCTTCCACAGCTTGGCACCCTCGTCTTGTTTCCAGAGTACATTTGTTACGTTTCCCGTGTTTCTTTGTGAGATTTCAGCCCCCCTCACACGTGATGTGTGTCTTTCCTAACGCATGTCCTGTTACTGAGCAGTGCGTCCGCGAAGCTGCTCCCCAGCAGGCCCTTGGCTGTTGCTGCCTTGGCCTCCTTCCCCTCGTGGTGGCCTTGTGTACAACAGGTCTGGCCGTAGTGATCTCTGTGGCTGTCACTGACTGGTCCTTGGGGAGAGCTGTGCAGGCCTTTCTCCCTAGCCCACCTTGGTCAGGAAGGCCCACTGAACCGTGTTCAGCATCACAGCCCCACAGAGGCCTCCATCGGCAGACAGATGGCTGGACACTCCAAGTGTTGGTGGGGACTCGAATCCCTGGCCTCTTGCAGGACAGTGAAAATTCTCCCACGGAATCGCCACAGTGTGTATGCTTTTTACTAACTGTTGTACAGTGTCATTTTTCTCACACACTGTGGGCGTGTTATTAGGAAGGGCCAGTCCTCAGCTTTGTAAAGAGAGGCTGTCCCTCAGTGAGATGGACTGAGAGTGACTGTAACTCCAGGCTCGAGCATGTCAGAGACGGGAGGATGGCGCAGGGCAGGCAAGGTGCAGATGTGCCACAGGGCTGGCACCCAACAACAACTGCAGGGTAGGACCCTCCTGAAAGACAGTTCTGGGTTGTGAAAAGGTGAGTACGTGATCCTGACCTTGACTTGTGCTCCCTAGCAGTCAGCACACGGTAAGCGACCTCTGAAGGGATCATCTTCAGTGCACAGCCCTGTGCAGACCACGAGCAGGGAAGCTCAGCGTGTCCTAACGCGGGGTGGTCTGTTGGCAGTGCGAGGAGCCAGGGGCCTTGCTGCTCAGGGCTCCAGCCCGGGAGAAGAGTGAGCCTGTGCCTGCCCTGCGCCTCCCCAGCTCTGGAGCAGCAGGCCTGTGGCTGTAGACATAAGCCTGCCTTTGCTGTTGTGAATAACGCAAGCACTGGGAGGGAAGACTTGCATTGCTGACTCTCCACTGCCGTCAGTCACTTCTGACTCGAGGTCACCCCATAGGGCAGAGGGGACTGCTCCGGGGTGCCTGAGACAAGTCTGCACTCAAGCAGTTTGCCTCGTCATTCTCCTGCAGAGCAGCTGCGAGGGTCAAGCTGCTCTGATTAGCATCTCCAGTTCTTAACCAGTGCACCCCAAGACCTCTTACAGGTGTGGTACTGTTGTGTGCCGTCGAGTTGGTACCGACCCACAGCTGACCGGCCAGGGTTTTCAGAGACTGTAAATCCCACAGGAGATTGCCTGTCCTCCTGTGGAGCAGCTGGTGGATTTGAACTGCATGCGTTGGGATTGTAGCACAGCTTTTTACCAGTAGGCCATTAGATCTCCTTCCAGGTGTAGCCGAGACGGTCAATGGACATCCTTATTCCTTAGCACTTCGGAGAGGCCCTTGACAGAACCTTTCCCCGGAGCAGCACTTCTTTTCTGGCTGCTGCTTCCATGGGCGTTGATTGTGAAGCCAAGGAAAATGAAATCATTGGCAGCATCAAGTTTTTCCCCCATTTATCTGTGTTTTATTGATTATGCAAAGGCATTTGGCTGTGTGGACTACAGCGAACTCTCTGAGAAGAAAGAGAATCCCAGAACACTTGATTGTGCTTATGTGAAGCCTATACTTAGACCGGACTTCCCAGAGCCCGGACGGAGACTGTTCCCTTGGTGCAGAGCTCAGCTCACCTCTGTGTCTAGGTGCAACCGAGACATAGCTGACCCTCCAGTGGGTTTTCACCGGCTCTGAGTTTCCAGGAGGAAACTGCTCGCCTTTCTCCCTCAGAGCAACTGGGGAGTTCAAACTGCTACCTTTGGAGACTTGTCTAGATTATTGAGGAGTAACGATGTCACTTTGAGGACAAAGGTATGCCTGATTCAGGCTGTGGTTTCTCAGTCACGTGCTGTGCTGCTGAGAGCTGGACACTGACGAAGAATGACAGAAGAATTGATTCTGAACATGCCATGGACGGTCAGGACAAACGTGTGCCTCGGAGAAGGTGCAGTCACAGTGCTTCTCGGAGGCAAGGATGGTAAAGCTTCATCTCACGTGTTGTCCGGAGAGGTTATTCCTTAGAGAGGGACGTTATGCTCGGAACGGCGGAGGGACAGCCAAGGAAGGGAAGACCCTCAACCATGAACAAGTGGGTTGACACGGTGTCTGTGGCAGTGGCTTGACGGTGTCAGAGATTGTGAGGATGACACAGGAGAGGACAGTGTTCAGATCGGTTCTTCTTAGGGTCACTGTGAGCTGTACTTGACACAGTGGCTCCTAACAACATCCTTTGAGTTGGCAGTGCAAACCCTGAGCTCAGCCTAGAGGGAGCATCCCATCCTGAACTTGGACTTGTGGCCTCCTTCACTGCTTGTGAAAGCTGTCCGGATGTGGTGTTTTGTTGTAGCAGCAGTGGATAGCTAAGGTTGCTGGAGACAGCGTGTGTGTGTGTGTGTGTACACGCAGGTGTGCTGCTGGGACAGGCTGTATGTGTGTGTGTACACGCATGCATGGTGTTGGGACAGCCTGTGTGTGTATGAGTACACGCATATGTGCTGCTGGGTCAGTGTGTGTGTGTGTGTGTGTGTGTGTGTGTACACAAATGCACAGTGCTGGGCCTCACTGCCCTCACGCGTGCTCCTGTACTGGAGGTTGTCGTTGGAGTCTCTCTTCAGTCCGTTTTGTCAGGAGTCTTCCTTTTTCCTCTGGCCCTCTGTTTTTCGATGTCTCTCTTAGAGATAGGCTGCCCCTGCCAGCACGTGTTCCCAGTGTGAGATGAAGCCCCCCCATCCTCTGTTCTGAGGGGTGTTCTGGGCCGTGCAGACCATCAGCACCCTTGCGGTGGCTGTGAGGTGGTAGATCAGAGGGCCTGGCTGGCTCTTCCCAGGAGCAGCGTTCCCTTCCCTGGCTGGGGACCCGCTGGGCGGAGGGCCCTTGCCTCAGCAGGCCGCTGGTTGGACGTGTGCTTGTGACAGATGGCTTCATCGCACACGAGAGGGGCGGCCTGCGGTCTGTCTGTTCTGATCAGCCTGCCGTGGCTGCAGAGCCGGACTTGCCACCCTGCTCACGAGATGACGCCCTTTGCTGCCTAATTTTCATAC